CTGCTGTGTCCACCACAGTGAATCGAATCCCGGATTTTAGCGTTGTAAGTCCGCAAACTTACAACTGTCCCATCGGAGAAACTTTATTGGATCTAAATCCACATAATCAGTCTTTTTATGACACTTAGATATTTAAACAAGCCTTTGTTAATAAGTGTGTCATTTGTATTAATTTCTTAGACTATAAAATTAACCTTTCAGTTTCATTAGTTACCTTAAATCTTTAAATATGGAAAGTTCAAACGAATCATAATAAAATTTGTATTATTCTATCAAATGATGCCCATTAAGTAAATGTTGTACCCTCATTGAGGATATCCAACACATTCAAACGAACTACATTTTTCTAAGTTAAATAAGAATTTGTCAGTAAATTAGAAGTAGATTGTGTTATGTAGTTGTGTTTTAATCACCGTATTTTGTAGAATATCTGTCTTATATATGTAAATATAATTAATAAAAGTATTTCATAACTGGAAAAGAGTATAATTGATATTTTATCATAATACATAATGATTATTAATGATAATATAAGACAATTGTGTTTCTTTGGTCGTAGACAGCCCATTGTTTAACTTTGAGCACAAGAACACTGATTTTTAGTGCTATAACCCTCAAGCTTACAGCTGAGCAACAGGAGAGGGGGTATACATGAAAATAATGAATCAGTTGTTTTCCAAATGCTATTTAAATGTAGTATTATATCCATTTGTAGAAGAAGCCGTTAAAACTGACTGAATAGAAAAAAAAATATGTCGATGTTTGGACGTGAAATTTAAAAATAAAGATCAGGACACTTTGTTTAATTTATACAGTAAAACTTTTATTCTTAATAAATAAATAACAAAACCGTCAAACACATTCCAGAGACTAAGTCTCTTGACAAAAATTAGAAGTTTGCTTTGGTACTGATTTAGCTGACGAAACTGATTTCATGTTTTAAGTTTGAGTTAGAGGAACCCCTTTCTCATCAGTATCTCAAAATACAAACTATTCAAAAGTTTTCCCTTGTATTAAAACTTTAACAAATGTTATCTCCTATAAAAAAAAAGCTCAAAACCATTCCTATAAAACCTGTATTTAAGCGGATCAGTTGCTATTAGGGCTTCGACATTTATCTACAGTTTTTTTTTATTTGAACTTTTAAATGTTACCGTGACTAAAACCTTCCAAATAAAGTAAATTATTTTGTAAAATATTACTAATCGCGTTTAAAAATCGCATGGCACTAAGTGTCAGAACTGTATATTTCCATACACACACACACACCAAATAAATAAAAAAAGTTTCTAGTTTTGACACTGACACAAGAAAAAAAAAATCGATAAATTCAAACAAGAAAAATTGCAAATAAAATTTTCGATATCCAACAAATGATTACTTACATAACAAATGCTTGGAACTTTATACAAAGTTAACAGAAATATGAAAAATACAAAATGTAAGAAACACATTATTTCTTGATTATATTTTATGTAAAAAATAAAACAAAATCCTATGAAATTGCAACAGTATGAAATATGTCATACATTTTTATATAATGTATAAGAGGTAATACAGGGCAAGAAACATACACAGTTTGTTGTTTGATCTAGAAAGTTCTATGTCATCGCTAATACGTATATTATTTAGTTTATTGAAATTATTTCTTAGCCAGTTCGTACCAAAATCACGAATTCGCCAAATTTCATAAACTGAACATGATTAGTTTCGAATAAAACTTTCTCCAAAATTAAGTTAATCGTTGTTCTTCAAAATTCCCTTTTAAACCTGAAGTATTTTTGTTCTAAATAAAGATATCAATATCATATTATAGTATGAAAGAAGTGTGAATTGGTACCCATAAATAAAAGGAGATTTTCGTTCCTTTTGAGTTAAACAATAAGTATGTAGGCTATGTCTGATTTCCTTATATTCTATTTAAGGTAACACATCATAAATACATGGTAGACTGTCAGCTACAAATTAAGTTGAACATGAAACCGGATAACTTCAACTCATGAAACATCATAAGTACATGATAGAACTGTCAGGTACAAATTAAGTTGAACATGAAACCGGATAACTCCAACTCATGAAACATCATAAGTACATGGTAGAACTGTCAGGTACAAATTAAGTTGAACATGAAACCGGATAACTCCAACTCATGAAACATCATAAGTACATGATAGAACTGTCAGCTACAAATTAAGTTGAACATGAAACCGGATAACTCCAACTCAAGAAACATCATAAATACATGGTAGAACTGTCAGATACAAGTAAAGTCGATGGAACATGAAACCAGATAACTCCAACGCATGTTCGAATCTACTTGCATATTTTGATTTGCGGATATGACTGACTAGGATGACTCCTCAGAGAGGAAATTCTCAGATTAATGACTAGGATATGCTAGTATATCCACAAATAAACATAAATATGAGCATACAACGGGTTTTATCACCTTATGAAGGTAATATTCAGTACCTTTGAGGTGTATGTACATGGTCTAGGGACTGTTACCTAACCCCGGTTTGATCTGGTATGGTTAACATCAGTAAATAGTACTGGCACCAGATCATTAAAAACATATCGATACTGCACGTCTAATACACATTTTTAAGGTTACCAGTAAAAAAAAAAGAAAAATATGCATAATATTGGTAAAAATAATTGAAATTCAAGTGTTGTTCTTAACTATATCCAATGTTACAAATGAATAAAAAAAACATTGTGCAACCAAACATCAGTGTGATTGCTAATAGAATCACTAAAAAAAAATTATCTTTACTTTGCAGTTGATGTGTTCAACTCCTGTTATATTTGTGTCTTTATCTTATAGTTTTAGCATAAAAATACATCGCGCGCAAATATTTGTGTGTCTAGGACTAATATGAACTATTCATACGCGTTAATTCATTATCATTTAATTAAAAAAAAACACTTAAGTTGACTCTGTCTGAATAACATAGTTTCATCAGTTTTACATTTCACTCACAACTGTTGGGCTACGACTTCTCTTTCCTGATGATATTGGTGTTGTCGAAGAAATTGTGCTTATACTGGTGGTGACTTGTGTAACGTGACTTATTTCGGAAGTGACTGTTGCCAAACTTGAACCTTGACCACACATCCTGTGATGGTTCTCCCAGTCCTTGTGTTGGCAAAATGACCCACAATACCTTGCTACATTACATCCACTGCACGTTTCGTTGGCTTTTCTGCCGCAGTTCCAGCAATTCTAAAAAAAATCATTGTTAGTAATGGAATGCTACATAATGTGTGTTTTTCCAATTAAGAACTAAAGACGAGTATTGTTGAGAAACAAGAAAAGACTGTTAAATCTACATAATGTCGGTTTCTATAAACATTCGATCATTTAAGTTCAACACATCTCCATTTTTTGTGTTTTATTTCTATCTCAAATTTGACCGCTCTTTATCTTTACCCAAACTATTTGATTATATTGTTTGTTTGAATTTATGCACGAAGCTCCACAATGGGCTACCTGTGCTCTGCCCACCACGGGTATCGAAACCCGGTTTCTAGCATTGTAAGTCCGCAGACATACCGCTGTGCCATTGGAGGGCGACTGTTTATGCATGAAACTTAAAATTTGAAAGTACGAATAGTATATCTGGTTTAATTCATGTGCGTGATCTGTTTCAATTTTCAATGTTACAACTTAATTCGTATTTGTTTGTTTGTTTCTTATGGATTTTGCGCAAAGCTACACGAGGGCTATCTGCGCTAACCGTCCCTAATTTAGCAGTGTAAGACTAGAGTCAAGGCAGCTAGTCATCACCACCCACCGCCAACTCTTGGGCTACTCTTTTACCAACAAATAGTGGTGTTGACAGTTACATTATAACGCCCCCACGGCTGAACGGGCGAGCATGTTTGGTGTTGGGATTCGAACCCGCGACCCGCAGATTGCGAGTCGAGTTCCCTAACCACCTGGTCATGCCGGGCCTAATTCGTATTTGGTTGGTTTAAATCGAGTTGGAGATGACTATGTCCTAAGAAGTCATGATATATTGAATAGCAATGTGTGACGTCACTAATTAGCCACACAGAAGTATTTGTTTGCAGTTACATTACCTGCATATTAACAAGGGTGAACAGAAAACATGTCACCCTAGGCTAGACGTGAGTTGTTACTCATAAGCCTGACGAGGGAAAGATGTCTTATAGGTGAGAGTAATGAATTAAATGTTTTTCATTCGGTCTGTGGTAAGGAGTTCTCCAATGTATGGTTTTATGATTTTGTTGTATCGATGATGATACTAGGTACTCCAATATATTGTTTTATGATTTTGTTGGGCCCGGCATGGCCAGGTGGTTATGGCGCTCGACTCGCAATCTGAGGGTCACACCAAACATGCTCGCCCTTTCAGCCGTGGGGGCGTTATAATGTGATGGTCAATCCCACTATTCGTTGGTAAAAGAGTAGCCCAAGAGTTGGCGGTAGGTGGTGATGACTAGCTGCATTCCCTCTAGTCTTACACTGCTAAATGAGGGACGGCTAGCGCAGATAGTCCTCGTGTTGCTTTGCGCGAAATTCAAAACAAACAAACAATGCTTTTGTTGTATTGATGATGATACTAGTTACTCCAATATATGGTTTTATGATTTTGTTGTATTGATGATGATACTAGTTACTCCAATATATGGTTTTATGATTTTGTTGTATTGATAATGATACTAGTTACTCCAATATATGGTTTTATGATTTTGTTGTATTGATAATGATACTAGTTACTCCAGTATATGGTTTTATGATTTTGTTGCATTGATGATGATACTAGTTACTCCAATATATGGTTTTATGATTCTATTGTATTGATGATGATACTAGTTAGTTTGTAATTATGTGTTGTAATGTATAACTTTTAGTGCATGCTATGTTTTCACTAGTTTATCCTACTGAATAAGTTGGTCCTCTGACTAACTGTCATTACAAACGACCAGAACTAGAAGCTTGGCGTGTAGAAAAATAGTAGATTTTGTTTATGTTTTGTTAATTCTTGAATAATTTATTTTGTTAATATCGTATTAATGTTTTTTTTTATTAATCTGCACAAAATTTAAATGTCAAAGTACTTTTAATCTGATTCTTTCACTTGTACTCTGATTCTTGAATAATATATCATACAGATGAAACTGTTGAACTTAATAACGGAATATTACAGATTCAAATTATATATACTGAAAGAGCTGACCATGCTTATCAGCTCTGGCCCATATCTCTTTTGGGAAATCTCAGCAGTGGATGAAACATCCTCTCAGAGAGTTAATTAATTTATTGGATTTACTCTTTGGGGAAGAAAAACTTCCTGAAGTGACAAGTATTCCCTAAAGTGGAACATGAATCTTTGAAGCATCAAATAGCCAATACTACTACCTCAAATCAATCACTACCATTGGTATAG